AGGAACTCCAAGAAAATATAGCCCACCTACCCTTCCTGGTTTCTAAAGTGATGATAGCAATTTTTAAAGAATATATAATATTTTGAGCATACAAAGTTTAAATTAAATGCTAAGTAATCACTGATCCATTTGCAAAAGCTTTATGGATTATCTTTTAGGGGTGAGATGTTGTGAAATATAAACTATTTGACAGAAAGAAACTAGTGAGAGAGAAAAGGGAGAAAACCAATATGGTTCCTCTTGTTAAAAATATTCTAAAACAAAATAATTCAGATATTGGAACTTCTCTTACAGAAGGAATGATATTTAAGGGCCAATACTTACTGTATTATATGGAGGTATGTAGAAGACTATGAAAAACAAATTTGGTCCTAGTAGCATTGAAGAATATAATCACAGTCACCAAGCAATTTGGAGGAACTAAAATTCATATAATCTTCATTTTTGTCACGGATCTTCCCTTTGAATTAATAAGGTTTTGTTTGTAAACAAGAATCTCTTATATTTATTATTTTAGCAACAGATACTTCTGGAGCTACTTAACTAAACTTCCTTTTTCCTTTTAGTCATTCAATATATATGTATTTAATGTTTTCTATATGTCAAAAACTGAAAATGGTATTGAGGTATATTGAGAATCAGATTATGCTTTATCATTTCTGTGATATTTTAAATATTAAACATATGGGTCCATTTTAGCACAATCAAGTTTGAAAATATGCAATTACTTATTTATAGGATTGAAACCAAAGTATGCATATATTAAAATATGCACTTATTTGAACATTAGTTGTAAAAATGTCATTATTTAAAATAAGTTCAAGACTTTTGTTTTAAATGCTAACAATACATTTTTCTTATAATTGAGAAACTAAACTAAAAGATTATATAATTATTTTTAAATATCACTTTTAATAATTATTTTACATATCCTTCCATAAAGACAACCACCCATGTAACTCTTCAGATGGCTAATGTAACCGGTGAGAAAGTCTCTAAGTGCTATAATATAAGATTGGTTTAATCAAACACTGATTTCAGTAGCTCTCAAAATTGACTGCTTCCTGCCTCCATTTCTGAAGGAAATCCATCATGAAAGAAGGTTGTTAGAATAAGTAATGTGTGCTTTGTATTTCTGAAACGAGGAAACAAAAATTGAAGAGAAAGGCTAGATAGTGAAAGAAGATGAGCACTTTTTGAGTTTAATGTGCGTGAAATTGTATGCCTTGGAAGAAAGACAAATTGTCAGCAGGATACAAAGTAAGTTTCTTTGTATCAGAAATACTCTATGTAGGTGGTTAGTTGTTTTATTGTTTTCTCTCTAACACAAGTTATTCCTGTAAGCTGGGTAAATGAGGGAAGCTGTACTTGAAGACGCCACAGTTTTATCCAAATCACACCAGCAGGGCTGGGGGTTGGGTGAGAAGGAGGAAGCTAGGAGCAAAACTGTGGCATTGGTAAGTGCTGAGGGGTACCCTGTGGGATATCCGGGTCATCTCCTGGGGAGGAAATACCGCTCAGGAAAAAAACCTAACCTCAAAAGAAAACACAAAGTCTGTAAGTCACACTGGAACTAGAAGTGTTACAGGAACAGAGAAAGGTATTGATTTCTCTGTCCCAAATTTGGTCACAAACAGGACATCTGTGAACCCAAACAAGAAAGTACAAACAGGAGGAAAAAAGATAAAAGGTTAACTATAGCAATTCAAAATAACTGAATATAAGACACTCAAAGAAGGTGGCCTCACTAAATTGTTTACAATCACTAATTTTTCTTAATTTTTTTTCAGATCAGTATCTTTTTTTTTAAGGTTTCTTTTTTTTAATAAAGATTTTATTTATTTATTTCTAGAGAGACGTGAAGGGAGTGAGAAAGAGAGGGAGAGAAAAACATCGATGTGTGGTTGTCTCTTGCCTGCCCCCAACTGGGGACCAGGCCTGCAACCCAGGCATGTGCCTTAATTGGGAATCAAACCGGTAATCCTTTGGTTCACGAGTCAGCACTCAATCCATTGAGCCACACCAGCTAGGGCTGATCACTATCTTTTAAAAAAAGTCATACTGTATGTTTGATGCAGTCTAAGGTTCTTCTAAAACTATCATTGCTAAATCATGTACCTACTTACTGACTCTTAAAAATATGTGAAAAAATTATTGCAAGTTTCCCTTTGGTATTTTTAACTTTATTTTTTTTATTTTATTTTATTTTTTTTATATTTACAGGTCATTTTATTCTTTTTTTTTAATTAATTTATTTACTTTTTAAATACATTTGTCTCTGCCTTCCCCCCCCTTTCCCTTTATATTTTTTCTGTGTAATACAAAGAAATTTGTTGAATGTCTTAATTATCTCTGATATGCTTAAATATCATTAATATTGATATGTTTTCTTAAGTATTTTAGTTTTTTCTATATTTCTATTTTTCCATATTTTTCCATGAAAAAGTATTAACTTAAAAATCAATATTACTATGGAAACACAAAGAGTAAGTTTAAAAGAAAATATCAACAATATTTGTCCACATATCAATATTAAGAAAATATTTATAAATAATAAATATATCACTATATACAATGAAGTCTGTCATCTTAAATTTAAAAAGAAACTGGATATCACTGAATTGTGTAAGAAATAGAATTTAATATTATTTCCTTGTTTATTCAAGGTGTTCAATTAGAAAATCGTCAAACATTAATAAATCTTAACTCTGAAGTTGATATTCTAATAATACAATAGGAATATTTTAACAAGCATATTAAGCACAGAATTTACTCTTTTAATACAAGTAATTTAATCAATTTCTGAATTTACTGCTTTGCTAAGAGACTCGTTCTAAATGGTGGGTAGCATTTTTTTATGGAATGACCTACTTTATGCCATAAGCTTTCATTATTCCTTCATGCTTAGAAAAATAAGTTTGCAGTGATCCATCTGTTTCCAGAAAGACATACAAACCTCTTAAAATAAATAGCAAAAGAACTAAGAAAAAGGGTCTGAGTCTTTGGAGGACTTGCTTCCCCCATGTGCTATTACTGTACTGATAAAAATTATGTTAAATATTGAAAATTTGCTAAGTCATAAAAATATAAAGAACAAAATCTTTGAGGACTTCCATAGCAGGATCCTTAAGAACAGGTTTTGATGACAACTCAAATCTTGGCTCTGCCATTTTCTAGCTATTCTGCATTTTTCCAAGAAACATTTACTGCTCCAATGGAACCTCAGTTTCCTCTCCAATAAAATGGTAATACTCATACCTAACAGTGAGGACATTGTGAGAATTAAATAAAATGAGGCATGTAAATATTTAACCCATGTTGTAAATGGCATGCGTTAAGTGTCAATAAATGATGGCTATTATAAATAAGTGAATATTTTTGTCATTGGGAAAGAATATTTGTTTTATGTTAGAGAAGAAGAGCTTAGTGTTGATGAAAATCATAATTTACTGAAGATCAGGGAAGATCTCCAAGGTGAGAGCCAGAAAATTTTATTAGCTTACCTGAGCTAAAGGACCCAGGCTTCCTGATCTCTGGTGATCTTTCTACCAAACCAATCTACCTTTTAAATGGATCTCTATAGTTTATTTAAATGGTTTACACTTTATTTTGGATTGCTTTTTAATCAAGTTAAACTTACTAAAGGTATTACCAATTTATACTTTAAACTGAAACATACTAAAGATAATACAAACAAATGCACCATGCTACGCCATATACGTTAAACTGGACTTCAAATATTATTTCTTTAAACTATTACTAATGAGCGAAAAAAAGCAGTCAGTATGAGCTTCGTATTTTCATAAAAAGTTCCCTGAGATAGCAATGTAACAAGCATAACCTCAGTCCACAGTTCAGTCAAACCAGACACTCAGGTTTTTTATAACAAAGAAAATTAGCTTTATAAAATTTCACTAAATTTTCTCTAATCAAATGCACTATCAAGTAAAGCACAAATAAAACTTTGTCTTGTTTGCTTTCATTATGATTTTAAAATTTCAGTTCCCTTTTTGCTGGTCAAATTGTTCACTTATAAGTCTTGAGTAATGTGCTGCTTCTTAAATAAGCAGAAATGAAGCAAGCCTGTAGCTGTCTCTTGGCAGTCATCTTGCTTATCTCTAGACACTTTGCTTTTTCTGAGATGTCAAAGTTGGAACTTTGGTTTTGTTTATGATCTTAGGTGTTTTATACCTCTGGGATAAGCTGAATATCTAATAAAGAATACAGGATTCCCTGAGTGAGCTTTACTAAGGAACCTCATGAATAATGAACTAGATAGCTCAAAAATGTTTTTCTTTCAGATGGTGATATTTCCCTTGGGTAAACAGTCAGAAAATGTTTAATTTTTCATCGTTTGATTCTTCATTATTCCTAAAGAAAAAAAATAAGTTGTTGGTATATGCCATATCTGACATAAAGGTTACAAAGATCTACTTCATGTGGCTGTAAAAGATACCCTTTGAAGAGTATTTTAGTTCATGTAATTCTACATTTTCTCTTCAGTCTACTCCGTTTTGATGAACATATTTTTATTCTTGAAATACTGACAGCACAGGAAACTTAGATATAATTGCTTCCATCAAATTAAAAAAATTATCAATTTCTATACATACATATAGTTATACACATACACACATAAGTGAATAGACGTGTTATTCACTTTCACTACCTTTTACTTGGACCTGGAGGAGTGTAGTATTGGGATACCACTTTTCAGCCTTCTTCTAAATGTTTCATATTCTTACATGAAGAAATGAGCTTTAGAACAGATACCAATGTACAGAAATGTGTAGCCAAAATTAAATGCTTCAGTATCATGTATGCAACATCTAATTCCTCCAATAGTGAGAAGGCTTTATGATCTTGAAAAATTAAAATTACCAGTTTTGTCATATAATTTCTATTACTTTAATGTTTTCATTGAGAATATTTTGTCAATGCATGCAAAACAAAACTTAATATCTTTTCTTTTTATAAGAAAATGACAGGAATATACATACTGTAAGGGACACATTCATACTGCACTTCAAGGTATTTATAGGTTCCTGGGCACGGGTCTGGAAAAACATCAGGACCTGCCACGACTGCACACTGGGTTCTGTTATTGCACCTGAAGTCAAAAGAAAAAAAAAAAGAAAGAAAGAAAGAATATGCTTATGCAAAGTTAAATCATTATCAACATCAATACTAATTTTATTTTGGTTCCTGTTACACCTATTTAGGATTTTAGACTTATTAAGGAAATTCTATAACATACTTTAAATAAACTAGAGATAAAAATCAGTTTGTTCATTTTACTTATATTAACTAATTTAATATCTGATTGAACGCAACCTGATTTTGATTTAAAAGTTTAATACTGCTTAAGCAAAACTGACTGGTAGGAGAGACTCACTCTCATTATAAAATCAAATTAAGGAAGTATAACTACAGAGTTTTATTAGCCAGTTGTAAAATAAACTCACTGATTATCATGACAATCATTTTAAAAGCAAATATGTTGTTAAAAAGGTTTTAGCCAAACAAAAAAAGTAAAAAGTTAGTATTTAAATATTAAAATATACTTAAAAATTAATTTATATTGTTTAATAATTATTGCATAAGTGAAATCATTTTAAAGAATTGATTTTCTACAACCTCTCCAACACTTATTATTTCTTGTCTTGTTGATAATAGCCATTCTAACAGGTGTGAGATGGTATCTCTTTGTAGTTTTGATTTGCATTCCTTAAGAGCTAGTGAGGCAGACAAAAGGAACCTTAATTCACTGCTCCTGGTAATATACACTGGCAGAGCCACTACAGAAAGCAGATGGAAGTTCCTCCAAAAATGAAGAATAGAGTTACCATATGACCTAGCAACTCCTCTTCTGGGTATCTACCCCCCAAAATTGACAACATTTATTTGCAAAGATATATACACCCCAGTGTTCATTGTAGCATTATTCCTGATGGCCAAGACATGGAAACAACCAAAATGTCCTTCAATGGCCGATTGGGTAAAAAAGATGTGGTACATATATCCTGATAGAATACTACTCAGCCACAAAAAAATATGAAACACTGCCATTTGCAAGAAGATGAATGGACCTGGAGAATATTATGCTAGGCAGAGTATCAGACAGATTGCACCCATATGTGGGATATAAAACTGAAAGCAACAAATAAAACAAACAAGAGGGTAGGAGGGAAGAAAGGGTAAAGGGAGTCAATTATATGGTGACTGAAAGAGACTTAATTTTGGGTATAAACACATCATCCAATCTACAGATGATGTATTATAGAATTGTACACTTGAAACCTACATAATTTTATGTATCAATGTCACTCTAATAAATGTAATTTAAAAATGAGAAAAAATGAATTAATTCTCATTTTCTTATGTTAAGCCAATTAATAACCCTAAGCTTACAGATTATTGTTCACAAATGCCAATATTCTATAAGTTAAAATAACTTTAAATCTCTAAAGAGAATAATGAAATATTACTATTGAAACTAATACAAACTAGACGTCTTCTGTGGCAATGGAGCTAAACAGAACTGAGTTAACCTGATTTACTCATGGGTAAATAAATACACATGTAATAAAATTGATCCCTGTTCTGAAAAAGACACCCATTTTTGAGTGGGCTTGTTATGGTAAATTTTACTAAAAAACTTTCTAGATTCAACAATATCAATTAGCAGACATTTCTACAGAAAAATAATTATTCTACCCAAAATATTGACACTATGAGAACAGGATGAGACATTCTAGTTATCTTGTGTTTATATTCTTGCTTATTCATCTCAGAAATATTATACCTCAGGGCTAGATTTTTGTGTTAATTTCTTAAAGAGATGTTTCATTCTCTGAAAAAAACCTTTACTCTGATTCCTTGCTAGCACACTGCCAAAGTAGGCAGCATTTAGGGCAGAAATCATTTTGATTTAGAGTAAAATGCTTGTGTTTATTCAAGGCTACTATTTGTCAGGCTTAATGAGGATTTTATTTAGTCCCTAAATTAAAATTGATTCTTTATTGAATGTCTTAAGCTTAAAAATATATTCTGCGTTATCAGTGAAAGATTAATAAAAGCCAATATTCTGTACTCATCAGGCAATTTTGCATTACAGTTAATCCTGAGGGTCAACACATTCTAAAGTTCGCCTGTGTAGATTTAATGTCTGAGGATGATGATCAGACAACCAACATACAGTAACATTAAAATACATGTAGCTGTCTTCACACATGCACTGCGATCAGGTAGCTTGACATTTTGGTGTATTCAGACTTTTGAAAAAAATAGCAGAGCCTCCCTATCACATACAAAACTCATTTCAAGAAGCTGTCTCAAGTTAAAAGATATCCTTTTGCAATTAAAGTAATATAATTTTCACATTACACCTTAAAAATAAACTCATATCTATCTGAGGATTTCATACAATAAGCAGCTATATAAACTCTGTAATTTCTATAATTATTATAGAAAATTAGCTATAATTGGAACACAGGTAAAGCAGAAATAATTAAAAAATTGAAAGAACTATACACATAAAATGTGATGGTGTGTAAATATTCTGTAAATACAATGTCATTGCTGACCTCCAGTTTTTGGCCTACTGTTGTTTTACTTTGTATTATTAGACCTTTTTTCGAATTACTACATATCTAATAATAAAATTCACTTAGAAGCTGTGTCCGTTCTTGTAACTTTCAGATATAAATATTTAATTGCAAATATTTTATTATTTAAGTAGTCAATGTTTAATATCAACAATTAAGATTACAATTCATACATGTAAGTAAGGCATAAAGGTTAAAATTTATAATTATAAAAATGTTTATTTCACAGAGAGTTGTTTTGAATCAGAAGAATTTCAAGTGATTATATTTGGATAGACTGGATTAAAAATATAGTATGGACACTATACACATCGTCCATCCATCCAATTATCTAAATATGTGCATTGACCAATTTGCACATTGCTTAAGTTTTTAAAATACTAATGATTAATGTATACATCAGAAAAATGAAACAAGCAACCATTTGTTATAAACCAGACACTGCTGTGAGGTGGCGTATGAGAAGAGATATATAAACCAAAAGATGCTACACCAATAATATATTACAGTCGTTGTCATTGCTACGTTACATAAAACAAAAATGTGATGACAACGACTATAATATATTACTGGTGTAGCAATGTTTTGGTTTATATACCTCTTCTCATACACCATGTCATCGCTACTTTACAGAAAACAAAAATGCTTTACAACATTCTCTTCTAAAAATAATTTAGGCTCTATTACTATTTCTATATCAAATATTTTTTATAAATTAAGATTCTGAGTAACAAAAAGGGAAAACTAATCAACCTCTGGAATATTACCTATCTATAAGATATATTATAAGTTGATTATTTAAAGACTAGCTGCATTTTAAAATAGGAGTTTAAAAGTCTTTTCTTCTTTTTAATGGTTTCAGTCATTGCAAGTGAAAATAAAATTATCTTTGATATTACACTAAAGATTACTGGCCAAAATCGGCAAGTGCTTTTATAGTTCAATATTGTCAAAGTAAATTCATTAAAAAATAATATGGATGATAAAAGTTTGAAGAAATTAAAAGTTTTCATGTGCTTTAAACTCATATTTTTCAGTATTTACTTTTAATATAAGTATAAATTAAAGGTGATTTTCATTACCCTGATACTAAAATATTTTTTCAAACCGCAATATAAGATGAGAAAAAGGCTGCAATAATATTGTCAAATGCATTCTAATCACTAATACATGAAAAAAAACCTCCTAATCTTACATATCTATTGATGAAAGTTTCCATATTTTTTCATCAGATACTTTATGCAATAAAACTTTTTCTACTCCTAAAATTGGCAATTTTTGAATGAAGTATAAGCAGGTGACAATGACAGATACTAGATAGAATTCTCAAAGAAATCTCTTGGAGCTTTATTTTTCACATACATTACATGCAGGGCAGTTATTTCATTACCTCCCAATGTTGATATGCTTATAAAATACATAAGGAAAAAATGAAGAGTATCTATGAATACTCATTTTGTATTTATTGTTATTATAATTTTATCATTATTAGCATTGGTCTTTTAGCATTTTAGCATATTAGCATCTGTTTCATGACGGCTTAAGAACACTTCATTCCAGATGGATGGGTCTTTTGAGAGAAATGTACAATACAGAAGAAGTGACACACAGAAGAGCACATAATTCTTTTTGAGAGTAGAAACAGGAAAAACAGATTCGCATTAAAAACAAACTGTAAACCAAGTAATTAGCTGTATGCAACCTACTTTACCCAGGATATCCTAAGTCCAAGATTTACAGTAACAATGCCCTGTGTCTGTGTAACCCTTAAACTAAGAAAGCACTGTCACAAATGGTATATCACTTGCTACTTCTTTTTCGAGATGAGTATCACTAATCCCCCAATTTCACAGAGAAGGGAATGGATGTAGAGATATTACATAACTTTTCAGAATCTCAGTAATCAAATGATAGTCACTGGATTCCAGAACAGTAACCTGAAAACCACAATACTTGTGACAAGAGTGAGAGTTGTACATTGTATGGCCACTCAGGGAAACTGATTTAATTCTCTCTGATAGATTCTCAGGAGTACTGTGATGATCTGATGAGAAAAAGAACAGCTGTGAAACAGACCTACGTGGCCCAGGATTCATTCAGTCAGGGGTAGGGTTCAGGCATTCTAAGGAGGTTGTGAATTTGAATTAACATTCGAAAGCCAAGCTCCCTCGATCAAAACTGGCATGCAGCAACGGGAAAGATCAATCTCTGAACATAAGGTGGAAGGAGTTAATAGGTAAATGAATGTTTATTTATGTACATAAACTGTTCCAAAAGAGCAAAAATGATAAAAAACATGCCATTTTAATTCAACCCACATATAAACCTCCCACTTAAGTATAGTTGCCATCTATTGATGATGTTTATTTAATAAATGTTATTTAATGTGTTGAACGCTACTATTAGCAATAAATTTAAAGCATTATTGTTTAACTTAAATAGGTGCCTTACGATGACTGCCAGGGAAGTACACACGATCACAGGATTAGTGATAGGATTCAGA